TTCAGCCTTGGGCTGGTTCGCCTCCAACGCATAAAATAAAAAATAACCACATTTCACTTCTGATTCGACAAAATCGATGCCTATCCGGACCAACGATCGACAAAAATCGTACTGACTTTGAGCTTCATGACCGCGCATAGATACTGCCCTAGTAAAGCTTTCTCTCTTAACGGGGTAAGTGTTGTCAGTTGATATTCTTAGGACATACGCAGTGGGATTCAGTTGCTACTGTCAATTTAAACCAGCTAGTCGTGAATGCAGTATTTTTCGCATGCACGCTAAGAAAAAAGTATGCATTAATGCTTAGAATTCAACCAGTTTCGAGAAAACCCGCACATACTCATAAAATGAATAAAGGGTGATACGGTCAAAGTTTGGTCAATATCAACTTGTCGTATTTCTTTCAATTTTGCATTTAAAAAACCTGAACACCCCTCATTTTGAAGGTGTGTGTGTGTAGAATGTTGCTCCTATTTTGATTTTGGAATTCACTCTTCAGTTGTCAAAATGCCGTCCAAGCAAGAAGAGCAGCGTATCAAAATTTTGCTCGCGCATCGCGAAAATCCGAGCTACTCGCACGCAAAGTTGGCAAAATCGCTAAAAGTTGCCAAATCAACCGTTACAAATGTAATTAAAGTGTTCGGGGAACGTTTGTCGACAGCCAGGAAGTCTGGATCGGGGGGAAATCGAAAACCGGAAGCCGCTGAGACGACAAAGAGAGTTGCCGGTAGTTTCAAGCGAAACCCTAACCTCTCTCTCCGAGATGCCGCAAATAAGCTGGGTGTATCGTCTACAACCGTGCATCGAGCCAAAAAACGAGCCGGACTATCGACTTACAAGAAGGTAGTGACTCCAAATCGCGATGATAAACAAAATACGACGGCCAAAGCGCGATCCCGGAGGCTGTACACGACGATGCTGACGAAGTTTGACTGCGTGGTAATGGACGACGAAACCTACGTTAAAGCCGACTACAAGCAGCTTCCGGGACAGGAGTTTTATACGGCAAAATGAAGGGGAAAGGTAGCAGATGTTTTCAAGCACATGAAACTGTCAAAGTTCGCAAAGAAATATCTGGTTTGGCAAGCCATCTGTACCTGTGGCTTGAAAAGCAGCATTTTCATAGCTTCCGGGACTGTCAACCAAGAAATTTACGTGAAAGAGTGTTTGAATAAACGTCTGCTGCCTTTCCTGAAGAAACACGATTGTTCCGTACTGTTTTGGCCGGATTTGGCATCTTGCCATTACGGTAAAAAGGCCATGGAGTGGTACGCCGCCAACAACGTGCAGGTGGTTCCCAAGGACAAGAACCCTCCCAACACGCCAGAGCTCCGCCCAATTGAGAAATACTGGGCTATTGTCAAGCGGAACCTAAAGAAGACCAAAAAAACTGCTAAGGGCGAGCAGCAGTTCAAGGCAAACTGGCTTTCTGCGGCAAAGAAGGTGGACAAGGTGGCTGTACAAAATCTGATGGCAGGGGTCAAGCGTAAGGCCCGGCAATTCGGATTTGGAAAAGCGGAAGCCTAACTGAATATTTTTCCTGAATTTTATACTAATTGAACTTGAAAAAGAAATTTAATTTGATTTTTTAAATAAACGATTTCACCGATTTACACGCGTTTTCCCTTGACCAAATTTTGACCGTATCACCCTTTAAACACTGTTTACTCATCGGATGAATAAACGCGTTTTTCTCGAAACTGGTTAAATTTTAATCATTAATGACTAAAGACGTTTTTCTCAAAAGTGGTTAAATTGTGTACACCGGAACGATTTTAAATGGTTGATTTCGTATATTTCCATCATATTTTATTAAAAATAGTAGCAAAACAACAATAATGAAGAACGTTTATTTCTTGGTGACTTCAACATGGTGACGCAGAGTTCGGGGAAATCTTCAGACTTTTGCTGCCAGTTTCCCCTCTTGAACCAACCATTCCGTGACGTAGGCGTGCCAGTACTACATATCGCGGAAACATCGACGAAAACTTGCTGTGCATCCTAGACTAACTCAATCAGAGACACTTCAAATTCAGCCACTTTCTACGTGTCCGGCGACCTTCCCGTTCCATTGCCCACTGAACTCGATCCGGATCGTGCTACCGTTGGAAGCCCTCTGTAATGTAGATCAAAAGTTACTAAATAATGAAAGAATGTACCTTGTTAGATATACTTACTATTAGCATCGGCCATCTCTTTGGCCTGATCCCCCTAATCCCACACATCCTGTCCAACTGTACCGGACAACACTTGTAACAGCTGAATCTGCTGCTCACTAGCTCCTCCAACTTTATCGTGGAAGAATATAGGAAACGGAATAGGAAGAAAACTTGGTTTTTGTTCCAGCACTCTATTGCGAAGGAAGCAGTAATTCCTTCCCACTGCTGGCGATGATGACGACTTCTTCTGGAAGTTCTCACCACACTCTTGAAACAAAAGGAAAGTTATAAATTACTATCAAATTGTCTATTATAATGATACTATAAACCTGCGAAAAAGTTAATCATTGTTAGCCGGCGGCGTTTTCGGAAAATAATTGTTCCCAAGTTTTTTTTCAGCCACCAGTGAATAAAATTTAAACACTTTTGTTGAAAAATGGTTTTCTCTGAAAATGTCTAAATTCTATACACTTTTTTGCTATAAATTTCAACCACTCTATGACAGCTCGAACAAGCTCCCAAAAGTGGTTAAAAAATAGTCATCAATGCATAAACTCGTTTTTCCGTGTGGCTATGAGAAAAACTCAGCGAAAGAATCACTTCTACTCAGTTGTATGGAGAATTTTCTAAAAACTGAGCATATCAGCGCTGAAAAAGCAAAAACTACACGCTAAGAAAAAAGTATGCATTAATGTTTAAATTTTAAACAGTTTCGAGAAAACCCGCACATATTCATAAAATGAATAAACGCTGTTTACTCATCGGATGAATAAACGCGTTTTTCTCGAAAGTGATTAAATTTTAATCATTAATGAGTAAAGGCGATTTTCTCAAAAGCGGTTAAATTTTATACACCGGAACGATTTTAAATGGTGGGTTTCGTGTATTTTCAACATATTATACAAACAATTACATTCAAATAAAAATCAACATAAAGTAATATTTATTTCTTGTACAATAAAAACAATAAGAAGGTACATCTGGGCAGAGCAAGATCACACCATTTAACTCAAGTTTTCAAGACACTACAATGTCGGCCATTTTGTCATCGCTCGACATCCCGTCCGTCCAGGTGGAACTCGGATGTTTATTTTCACGATTCCTTCGTCGACCTTCCCGTGTCGTGCTCGGCAACCATTCCGTTGCGTTGCCCGACGAACTCGATCCGAATCGTTGTGGTGCCACTGGCAGCCCTGTAATGGAGATCAAAAGTTACAAAATAATGAGAGTAGATTCGGATCGTCGTGCTGCCGATTGAAGCCCTCTGTAATGGGGATCAAAAGTTACAACATAATGTACCTTGCTACACAGAAAAAAAAGTTGTTGAATATTACATCCAAACAGCTGCACACACAGCAAAAAAAAAATGTAATATCAATCAATGTAATTCAAGCTGATGTATGAAATTATGATGTAATAGCAAAAAGCAGATACAATATTACATCGATGGATGTAATTTTGTTCGTAAAATCGATGTACATCGTGCAATGTTATATTACACAACCGATGGATTGACCTGGTTGCAGCAGTTTGGATGTAATATTCAACAACTTTTTGTTTTCTGTGCAGAGGTAATTCCGCTGGTGGTGTAATATGACGTTGTACAATGTATACCGATTTTGCGAACAAAATTACATCCATTGATGTAATATTGTATCTGATTTTTGCTATTACATCATTATTTCATACATCAGCTTGAATTACGTTGATCGATAGTAATTTTTTTTTTGTGCTGTGTAGATATACTTACTATTAGCATCGGCCATCTCTTTGGCCTGATCCCACACGGCGACAGGATATTCCAGTTGGCATGTCCAACCGTACCGGACAACGCTTGTAGCAGCTGAATCTGCAGCTCACTAGCTCCTCTGGAAAAACTTTTAAAGATAAAGTTCTCACCGCTCTCTTGAAATAATAAGAAAATTATAAATAACTATTAAATTGTATCTAGATTAAAAATAATACTATACACAATCTATCTACCTGCAAAAAGTTGACCAATGATGGCCGCTGCTTTTCGGAAAATAATTGTTCCCAAGTTTTTTTTCAGCCACCAGTGAATAAAATTTAAACACTTTTGTTGAAAACTGGTTTTCTCTGAAAATGTCTAAATTCTATACACTTTTTTGCTATAAATTTCAACCACTCTATGACAGCTCGAACAAGCTCCCAAAAGTGGTTAAAAAAATAGTCATCAATGCAGAAACTCGTTTTTCCGGGTACAAGCTAAGTGGGTAGACAATCGAGTTCTAGGCGCCTAATGAAAGGTGACACACAAGGAAGAAGTGTTAGTTTGTTTGCTAAAATGAACTATGACGATTGCATATGGCAAATGTTGCTACAATCAATGATCCTCGTGTTTTTTCGTGGAATTCACATCAAATATTGATGACTTGCGTCGGAAACCTTGCCAAATCGATTTCTTACGCAAGTGATCAATCTTTGATGTGAATTTCGCGAATAAACACAAGGAGGATTGGATATAGCAAAACATGCATTTTAGTAAACAAACTAACACTTCTTTTTTTGTGAGTCACCTTTGTATTAAGTGCCTTTACGCTATTTCAAAACTACCCAAATTTTGGTAAAATCCACCCAGATCGGTCGAAACTGAACCTACCAAAAAATGGGTAAACTATGTTGGGAGTGACTAGTTGACAAATGAACAAAGTCGCGATCGGATTCATGTGGATGTTGTCCATTTGTCAACTTGCCACTCCCAACATAGTTTACCCATTTTTGGGTAGGTTCAGTTTTGACCGATCTGGATGGATTTTTTTTCCAATTTTGGATAGTTTTGAAATAGCGTGTTGAAGTTAATCAAATGCACAGTCGCAGATAAGAAACGTGGAATGCAGATGATCATTGGGTTTGTTGGGTCCTTCGCCCTGCTTTGGTTGGTTTCGCTAGGACTAGCACTAGGTGAGTGTGACAATGGATGTACAGTTTTCCCCGAAGAACGCGTTACCCACTGAGTTCTACCCCCACTTATTCTCGGCGGGTTCAGTCCTAACGCGTTCTTGGGAGGACATTAAATTAAATTAAGAGATGTTTTCCAACCGAATCATTAATTTCAACAGAGGAAAATGACTCCTGTACCAATCCAGCCGGTAAGTCCGGCCAGTGCATCTCCTTCCGTGAATGTGATCCAATATTGAAGATCTACAATAAAGCAATCGTTTCGCCGGATGAGACTGCATTCGTTAATCAAAGCCAATGTGGATGGACGGCTGATAAGAGAGCGTTGGTAAGATTCGAAATGAACGTGCAAAGAAGGGGAATCCCCCGCACGAGCGATGAGATCATCTCAAAGTTGAGTCGGATTTCACTCAAAATTGTAAAAAGTGGGATCTGCTCTAAAATGAGAAAAATTTTATACATTCTACGAGTACAGTATCCACGAGCTCATCCAACAATCCGATTGTCAAATCCATACAAAAATTAAAACAATAAGACAGCATGCTTACAGCACACATCTGGAAATTGGCAGTACAATGTATTCAAACGTGTATTTGTTTAATCCGACATTTTCCGAATTAGCGGTATCCTGATTATCGAGTGTCGGATGAGCGTGGGATACTGTACACCAATAAGTTACCCCACTTTTTACGAATTAAAGAGTAAAATCCAACCCAATTTTGAGTCGGCTTGTCCAGCATAGCCAACAACATACATCACGTAATAACACAATTTACAGGTGTGCTGTGCTGTATCTGCGGATAATCAACGGCTTCATTATAGAAAAGAGACCCTGCCGAAGCCACCCCTCTGCGGATCAGATTTCAGCGATAGGCTCTTCGGTGGTCAGAGAACTGCCCTCGATGAGTTCCCCTGGGCCGCCCTGATCGAGTACCGCAAACCGAACGGAAAGACTGGATTTAACTGTGGTGCCACACTGATAAGCTCCCGGTACGCCGTCACGGCAGCCCATTGCCTAACAGCGATTCCTCATGGTTGGCAAGCGTAAGTTGCTACATATTTTCTAATTTTAGTGATGAAATTTATTGGAATGCTTCACTCAATTGACAGGATCGGTGTCCGTTTGGGCGAATGGGATCTGGAAAACGAGATTGATTGTATGGACGGTGACTGCGCTGACGCACCGGTAAATATGGGTTTAGAAAAAATAATTGTGCATGAAGACTATGATGCGGAGAACAAGTCGCATTACCACGATATTGCGCTTATTCGGTTCACAAGGGATGTCAACGTGACGTCGTTCATTTCTCCGGTGTGTTTGCCGATTGACGATAAGCAGCGTACTCGCGACAATGTTGGCACTAAGGGTTGGGCCGTAGGATGGGGTAAAACAGAAACAGGTGGGTTCTAGTTATGACCATTGTGATCGGAATTTTAATGCAAACAATGATCTTTTGAATTTTATAGGAAGTGCAAGCAATATCAAACTGAAGGTTGAACTTACATTCAAGGACTTTCAGAGCTGTTCGGATGTATACCGATCAGCCGCCGGGGTGATCCTCCAGGATAAGCAGATGTGTGCGGGAGGAGTGCGCAGTCAAGATACTTGCAGCGGTGACTCTGGCGGTTCACTGACGAAGCTAGATCGAGCAAATCACTTCATGTATGGAATCGTGAGCTTTGGACCGAGACAATGCGGAACCGATGGCATACCAGGGGTGTACACCAACGTTGCAAAATATGTCGACTGGATCGAAGGAAAACTGGAGTAGGATGATGCAGATAGCCGGTCGATCATTAATGCTAGCAGGGGTAGATGAAGCTGTTGGGGATATTTCCGTAGTTGTCGTGCAAATAAAGCAGGTCAAGGTAATTTACACCATTGTGGTCAAATTATGGTTTCCGAAATTTTCATCGCAAATCTCTGGCAAATTTTTTATTACGGATTCCCTATAATTTTCAAATTCTAGCACATATGAAATAAAAAAAAGTATTGACGACAATCCTTTTTCGAATAAATTTCTTTTTCGAACCTGCTTTTATTTTAACACAGATTTAAACCAAATAAACCAGATCTGTTTACGACTACTCATACTTGAAAATTTGGTAATCGAAGTGATGATATCAATTCCCATCAATATTTCATACTCAATATCAGTAACCCATTAAATTTGGGACCTCATTGCGCACGTTCAAACGACAGACTTTTTTCAAACAAGCGTTTATTCAAAATACTTCGTTTTGACTTGCGCAATGAGACCCCTTATTTATAGCATCTTTCAATTTATTGTTCACTGATTTTAATCTCTCTGGAGCAGTTGGTGACCATCATGGAAATAAATATCCTGATCAAGGAATCAAAAATATCTTCAAATGACAAAATGACAAGCAATCAAGTAAAGTTTATGTGTATAGGTGATATATATGGCTGAGTGTGCAATATGTAATTTGGGGATTTTGGTAAGTGATTTGCCGGTTATCTGTGTGGGTAAGTGTGCTCGTGTATTTCATTGCAAGTGCACTACACTCACGCGGACTCAGGCAAAGCTTATCACAGATAATGCAAATGTTCTATTCAAGTGTAGTAATTGTCTGTCAGATCAGAGTTGTGACGAGCAGAATGTATCGGTTTCGGATACCAAAATGCTGGGGGAAGCAATGAAGCAATTGTCTTCTGTTGCTGACTCTATCACTGGTATACGAAACAACGTTGCTGCTCAGATAGACAACGCGTTGAGAATTGGCATGGAAAAAATGCAACAAAATATGAACGATTCTTTAAGTTGCTTTGAAAAATTAATTAGTGAGAAATGGAATACGATGACTAGTTCATGTTTTGAAATTAGTTCGGAAAAGAATTTAGCTGCAACGAATGGTGCATCTAGGACGGTTCATTCTGAATCGGACCGAAATCCCAGACGCAAAAAACGTAAATTTCGAAATAGTGACAACGATTCGACTGATGATGTTTTTCAAGAAAATGCGAGTTTTGCGGATGTTGTAAAAAGATCTAGTCATGCAAGTAAAAGTAAAAATATTAGTAACAGTAATAGTAACATTAACAGTAACAGTAACATTAACAGTAACAGTAACAAACAGAGTAATCGTAAGACTCGTCCGGTCATTGTGATCAAACCAAAAGAGTCCAAACAAGCTTGCGAAGATACTCGTAAGTTTTTGAAAACTCAGTTGGATCCAAAAACACACAAAATCAGTAATTTTAGGAATGGTAAAGATGGCTCTATTATTGTTGAGTGTGCAACAGGAGCTAATCTAAATGATGTAAAAACTGGTATTGAAAGCAATCTGGGTGAACAATATAGTGCTGTTGTTCCCACTTCGGTGCCAAGATTGAAAATAGTGGGCATGAGCGATCAGTTTTCCTCCGATGTCTTCATTGACTACTTAAAAAGTCAAAATGAAGACATCGCTATAAATGATGTTAAAGTAGTGAACATGTTTGAAAATCCACGCTTCACTTATAACAAGTTTAATGTTGTAATTGAAGTCGATGTCGATACTTATAAATGTTTGTTATGTGCGAAAAAAGTAAATGTAGAGTTTGATCGGTGCTCGATAGTTCCCGCGATTAATGTGTTGAGATGCTTCAAATGTGGAGAATTTGGGCACAAGAGCATGGATTGCAAAAATTGTGATAGATGCTCTAGGTGCAGCCAACAACACAAAACGTCGGAGTGTACGTCAACTGTATTGAAATGTATTAATTGTTTGAAAACGAATAAAGAACGAAAAATGAACTTGGACGTCAACCATGCCGCATTTAGCTCGGAATGTTTGCTCTATAAAAGACTTTTTGATCAGAAGAAAAGCAGCTTGCGTTTCAATAAATAGCAGCCAAGTTCCAGGCATGTGAATCAATTCGATTTTTTATATTTGAATATTGCGGGGTTGTCAACAAACTACGTAGCATTACGTCAGATTGTTGAGGAAAAACGTCCTCTTTTAGTTTTATTATCTGAAACTCATATTGTAGAAACTGAAGCTTTTGATCAGTATAGTATTCCGGGATATATTGTTGCTGCTTGTTTATCACATTCTAGACACACTGGCGGTGTTGCTATTTATGTCAAAGAATCAGTTCAATTCAACCTTCGTACCAACGAAGTTATTGATGGCAACTGGTTCTTGGGCATTACAGTTGTACGTGGCATGAAGATGGGTAATTATGGTGTTTTGTATCATTCTCCCAGTTCTAGTGACCAGCGTTTTGTTGAAGTTTTAGAGAACTTTTTGTAGATCTAATAATGACAATTTTTGTAGATCTAATAATGACAAAAAATTTTTGTAGATCTAATAATGACAATCATTGGACTAGGTACACAATCGCGCGTAATAAGTATTCACAATCGATAAAGAAAACTCGTTGTGAATATGTTCAAAGGAAGATTGATCAGCATCAAAACAACAGCAAAGAGCTATGGAAAATTTTGAAATCTTTATTAAAACCTAGTAATTGCAAACCGCGGTCCATAACTTTTAATGGCACATTAGAACAGTCAGAACAAGTAATTGCAGCTAAGTTTAATGATTATTTCGTAGATAGCGTTTCATTGATTAATCAATCTATTGAATTGGTCGATGAACCTGACGAAATAAAACAGCCAGTTAATAGTAGTTGTAGATTTGAAGTTTTTCACCCAATCACATTAGATGAACTTAGAGTTATTTGTTTTTCATTAGGAAAATCGGCTGGAGTAGATAATGTTAATGCTAGAGTTATTCAAGATTGCTTTCATGTCATTGGCCACATCTTGCTGGACCTTATTAATGAATCATTACAAACTGGACATGTGCCACAAATTTGGAAGGAATCCTTAGTGGTCCCTATTCAAAAATTAAAGCCGAAGAGTTTCGTCCCATCAACATGTTGCGCACATTAGAGAAAATTTTAGAACTTGTTGTTAAAGGCCAGCTGTTGGAGTATTTAAATAGTAATAGTTTGTTGATACCAGAACAATCGGGATATCGGGAAGGTCATTCTTGTGAAACCGCGTTGAATTTGGTATTAGCGAAGTGGAAAAATAACTTGGAGTGTAAAGATACGATTGTTGCTGTTTTTTTGGATCTTAAACGCGCTTTTGAAACAATTTCTAGGCCCTTATTGTTAAGATCAATCAAGCGCTTTGGAATTACGAGTACTGCATATAAATGGTTTGAAAGCTATTTGTCTGACAGAACTCAACGGACTGTTTTTAATGATTCTATTTCCAGTCCCGTGGGGAATACCCTTGGAGTGCCCCAGGGAAGTGTATTAGGGCCCCTGTTATTTATTATGTATATTAATGACTTGCGACGTGTTTTACGATTTTGCGACATTAATCTTTTTGCAGATGATACTGTGTTATTCATTGCAGCTAAGGATTTAGATGATGCCGTTTTACACTTGAATGAAGATTTGCGTTCTCTAAGTAGATGGTTGAAGTATAAGCAGTTAAAATTGAATACAAGTAAAACTAAATTTATGGTTATTTCGCGGAATCGAGTAAATGTGAACGTCTCTGTTGTAATTGATGATGAGACTATTGATCGCGTTCGGGGGATTAAATATCTTGGCGTGATTATTGATGACACACTTAAGTTCAACTCTCACATTGACAATGTCATCAAGAAAATTGCCAAGAAGTATGGAATTCTATGTCGACTGAAAAACGATTTAACTGTTGCCAGTAAAATACAGCTATACAAATCAATCATCTCTCCTCATCTTGACTTTTGCCCTTCCATTTTATTTCTGGTCAATGCAACACAAATATCGAGATTACAGCGCTTGCAGAATAAAATAATGCGTTTGATTTTGAGATGTAATAGATTCACTTCCTCAACTTTGATATTGGACGCCTTACAATGGTTGTCGGTGAAGCAAAGAATTGTATATTTGACTATGGTGTTCATTTTTAAAGTAGTTAACGGTTTGCTGCCTCGATATTTGTGTGATCGAATTGAAAGAGGAAGTGACTTTCATAGAGCGGTTGAAATAAGAACACCACATTTCTTGACTTGTGCTTCACAAAATTCATTATATTATAAAGGAATAAATGTTTCCAATTCGATGCCTAGACATATCAAACGTTTAGCAACACTTACAGAATTTAAAAGACACTGCATTTCACACGTTAAAACTGTCTTTTGAACAGTTATCCAGTGATTTTTTTTATGAATTGACAAATTATGTATCTTGATGAAGTTATCTCTAACGGATTATTTTGTATGGATAGCTGTCATAACGACTTTTTAATAATTATTGTAGCACTGCAAAAACTATTTCTGTTCGCCACGAGGGTGATGATGGATTTTTAATATTTGATTTTATAGTAGATTAATTAAAAAAAAAAGTAGTCTACAAAGGTTTGAGCCTCGCGCGCGTATTACGGATATAGAGGACTGAATTTAACATTTGATAAAAAAAAAATGCAATTTTGAAGCTTATTTGGAAGATACTTTGAGTTAGTAGTAAGTTTTCTGGCAAATGTTGGGGGTTTGTGAGCATTCCTGACATTGCTGAAAATTATGATAGCATCAGATTGCGGGGTTACTAGTGTAATAGGATGCTTTGTTGATTGTTCATTAACTCTTGATTGCTTGTAATACTTATGAATATTTTAGGTGGACAAAAAGGTGAACTAAGAGGTGGACGCCTAAGCTTTTCCACATTTATATCGCTGTGAAGCAACTGTAAACTTTAGAGGGAATCTATATCTGTAACTGAAACCAGTTCGATTTTGTTTGCCAACCTGGTTAAAATGTCATATTCAATTATCTTAAAGATAAATCGTCCAGCTCAAACCTTTGTAGGGGTAAGAGGTGGGACCATCATCATCATCATCAACGAACCGAATGATAACGCTATGTCAGAAGTGGAAAGCAATAGTAATATAATCTTCTTCCTTTATTTTCATGACATCGTTGGTTGCTTTATGTGTTTGGATTCGCTGATCCTGATGATTATTTTCACATTTGGGAAAACCAATTTCCCAAATAGAAATTTTCGTTTTATCACAGCCTTGGTGCCCATGATTTGGACTCTTGTCTGCCCT